CGTGTCGTCTTCCTTCTCGTGCTTGTCCTCCTCGTGATCGTTCTCTTCGTCCTCGTGTTTCCCTCGTCCTCAACGCTGTCTTCCTCGTCATCCGCCCCCCTTGTCGTCCTCCTCTTCCTTCTTTGCCCCATCGTCCTACGAGCCCAGTGAACAAGAGCAGCGGTTCCCGTTCTTTTCCGGTCAGGTTTTGACTGCAGGGTTGAGCTGTTTTTGGGCCGTCTTGGAGAGTATGCTGGCCGTTCTGAGGCCATCTTGGGACACCAGAATGGCCACCAGGGCGGACCGAAGGCAGTCCAGGTGCCTACTAGATGGTGCACCTGGCCGTCGAGGATGTGAACCCAAAAACATGAAGTAAGAACGATGCTTTATCCTGAACGTGTTCCATGGATTGTTTGCTTCCCCATGGCATGCTGGAGGGATCCTTGGGCGCCTCGTGACTGCCCTCTTGGATCCTGACGGATCCCCCTCTGGGCCTCGGGGGCCATCTTGGCAGCCTTGGCGACCCTCTGGGAAGCCGCCTGGGAGCAATACAGGGACCTTTTGGAGGCCGCGTGGGAAGCGTCATGACGCGTGGGGACCGCTGCGAGAGGCGTCGGGGAATTCGGCGGAATTGATTGACAGAATGGCCCTCTGCACACATTGCGATCAAAGAAATTGGCACGCGCATGTGTTACAAAACGCCAGAGCAAATGTTATTCATCATGTTTTCCGAATGGGAAAAGGGCATGACAACAAAACTGATTACGTTGTTCAGATCCCTCGCATAGGATCGCACAAGGATGAGTTTAAAGTCTCAGGTGGAGGAGCATCACACACGCAAGGTGAAAATGGGAATAGAACTTGAGCGTGTCAACTAATGCTTGGAGACATGCGCTCCGATGCAACTGCCGAAAGGTAAGGAGCACAGTTATTGCACGCCCTGCGGGAAGTCAACAAATACGCATGAGGTACATGAAGCACACCTGCAGAAAGATTTTGCGAGCGTCGGCTCACAAGTAGAGAGTCAGTGCAGAACGGGCGGCTGGTTTGATGTATTGTCCGCCCTGCAACACTAGAACAGCAGACATAGGAGCGACGGTTGTCCAAGTTTCTGCTCGAGCGACCGCGCCAGCCCAGGGGCCTCACCCGCCAGCACCTGCTGCTACAGCAGGCAGCATGAGCGGTGGCCCACGTCGGTGGGCTGCCACCCCTGGCGTGGCGCGAGTGGCCGCGCTGGCCCTGGAGCAGGCGGTCGCTCCCGGCGCCGAGGTCGGCTCAAGCTGAAAGTGATCCTTCGCCAGAGTGGGAGGAGAAAGAGGAGGAGGAGGAGGAACGATCAGGAGGAGGAGGAGGAGGAGGAGGAGGAGGAGGAACGATCAGGAGGAGGAGGAGCGAGGAGCGAGGAGCGAGGAGGAGGAGGGAGGAGGAGGAGGGACCTCTGGTGCGCGATTTTCTGGGGGCGCCGGGTGGCCAGCCCTGCGCACGCAGGCCGCTGCCGCACCGCACGCCAGGCTCGGCAGGCCGCGCGCGCCCGAGGTCGCGCCTGCTCGGGGCTCCGTCGGGCGTGTCCCTCCGCAGGAGGAATGTCGACTGGACGCGCCTGCTCGGGGCTCAGTCGGGCGTGCCCCTCCGCAGGAGGGATGTCGACTGGACGTACAGTCGGGGCCCTGAAGAAGGAACCCTCTTGGTTGGGGAGGGCAGGAGGAATATCGACTGGACGTACAGTCGGGGCCCTGAAGAAGGAACCCTCTTGGTTGGGGAGGGGCTCCGCGTTCCTTCAGGGTTTCGCGTTCCACAGTTTGCCCTAGGTTTTCTTCAAATGTTCGATCGGAAATCGAAGTTCAACTTATGGAAAAAAAGGGGCCTCGTTCCTCATTCAGGGTTCCTTAGGTCAACGCCCCGACTCTATCGACTAGCCGTAAGAGTGACCTTTCGCCGAAGTGACCTTTGGTGCGGGCGCAGATGGGCCTTCAGATGGCTGAAAACCGAGCGGCAGCAGCGGCTGGCGCGCCCAGGTCTGGTCTCCCCGCGGCTCCCAAAAAGCCGCGCACCAAAGGTCACTCTTACCCAGGGTCACTCTTGCGTGTAGCCGAGAGTACTCAAGCATAGTTCCAAAAAAACTCTTGGGACGATTGTTCGTGCCTTTTGCCTATGACTGTGACCATGTTTTGACTATGTCTCATTTTCCTTCGAGCATCCGCCCGTATTGGGACGTGCCCGACCTAAGCCTGGGGGCACGCCTGCGTGCAGCGCGACGAGGTGCGGCCCGCTGCCGCGCGGCAGGCGGCGGCGCCCCGCCGGGCCGTGCGCCTGCTGCTGTCGAAGCTGCACACGCCGGCTGCGACTGCCGATCCGGGCGCCTTCGGCGCCCGCCTGCGGGACGAAGTGGCCAGAGGCCTCGGGCTGCCCGAGGCGCAGGCGCTCAGCATCGATGAGACGATGCCCCTCCCCAATGGGCCACGGCACAGCTCAGCCCCGGCATCCCACCACCCCAGTTGGGGAGAGGCCCCTCGGAACCCGAAAGGAGCAGCCGACATCCCCGTCCACGGGGGTACATCGTCCAGTGGGGCCCAGGCTGCGCCAACAGGGAGAGGGATCGGTCAAACAGTGCTCAGGTGCAGGTGCTGGGCGTGTACGCCGCCGGCGCCGGCGCCGTGGCGGTGGACTGCGCGCTGTGTGGCGACGCCGTCGGTCAGGAGCCCGTGGCGGCCATGCAATTGGCCGCCTCGATCGTATACCAGGGCGCCGGCGTTGGTAACATGCAGGGCGGGAAGCTCCTGCACGGAGCAGAGGTGCAGCTTCTGACGAGCGCCACGCTGCCGCTGCCGCAGGCCGAGCCCGCTGGTGGCAGTGGCGGCGACTGGCCCGCGGCGTCCGAGGCTTATCCTGCTGGGCGCCCTGGGCTTCACCCTCACGCAGTGGCGTTACTCGAGGAGGCTGACCGCATCTCGCGGGAGCGCCCGAAGCGCAACGTCCGTTTGGACATCCTGGAGCTGCACAACCGGCGCCGCATGCTGGTCTGGAAGCTGCAGAAGCTGTGGCTGGCCCGGAAGGAGCGCCGCCGGTCGAAGGCAGCTTCGATGATCCAGAGACGTTTCCGGCACCACCGCCTCGTACGCATTGGCAAACGCCAACGGGAGCAGAGCTGCGCGATTAGGATTCAGAGGTCTTGGCGGACGTATTGGCGCAGGATCCGCTGGCTCCGCATGCGGCACGAGGAGAGGGAGCGCCACGAGGCCGCCACAAGGCTCGGCGCATGGTGGCGGGGAGAGGCTGTGCGCGAGGTCGTCTTCCGCAGGCGCCTCACGCTGCTGCGTCTCTGGCGGTGTGCGTACCTGGCCCTCCTCTGCTCGCGGTCGCTGCGAAGGTTCAGGCGACGGAGGCGTCTGCTGGTGCGGGTGCAGTCGGTGTGGCGCGGAGGCCGTGCGCGCGCGACGGCAGCCGCGCTGCGCCGGGAGAAGTGGAGGGCCTCGGAGGCCGCCTCGCTGCTGCAGGACGCGCTGCGCGCCTTCGCGGAGCGCGAGAAGCTCCTGCGCGAGTGGGACGCGGCGGTCTACGTGCAGAGGGCCTTCAGGGGCAGATTTGCGGCCAGGCTCGCCATGCGCGTGCGCGAGCACCAGTCACAGGCTGCCGAGCAGGCCAGGCAGGGCGGGCCCGGCGTCGGCCCGGGCACCAGGTCGCCCGCTGGAGCGCTCGACGCTGCGGCGGGCGGGGGCGCGGCTCCGCCCGCGCCACAGCGGGCGCGGCCGCAGGCGGCCGCAGGAGGCGCCGGCCAGCCGGGCGGCCCAGAGCCCACGGCGCGGACGCTGCAGAAGTTCCGCAGCGAGCCACGGGGCAGCTGGGTGGAGGTATCCCGCTGCCTGCGGCAAACTCAGCCGCCGGGCTGGCGCGGCGTCGAGGTGCCGGGCGGCGCGCAGAGGGGGGTAGGGGGAGGGGGAAGGCTTCTTAGGAGGGGGTCGCTTCTTAGAAGCCGCGGGCCTTACATCTACAGACAAGGCCCGGGCCTTCTAAGAAGCAGCATCCTTCTAAGAAGCCTTCCCCCCTCCCCCTACCCCCCTCTGCGCGCCGCCAAGATGCACGCAGGAGTGGCTCTATTGGCCGATCTCTCCTGGAGGGGCTCGGCAGAACCACCAGGGGCCCCCAGGGGCGCCCAGGCAGCGTCGCTTCGATTCTGCAGCGTGGCTTGGCCGTAGTGTTGCATGGCTGTTGCGTGGCTTCTTTGGGTCTCCTGGCAGGCTTCGAAAGGGCTGTGGCCTCTTGGGGCGCTCTCGGGGGCGACGGGAGCCTCTGGGGCCGTTGGGCTGGGGCGCGCTGGTTTCATGAAGCTCTGCCGAAGCGGCTCAGTAGACTCATCGTGGGGCTCTCCTTGGGCAGATCTTGGAGCCATCTTGGTAGTATTGTCTTCGGGTGCTCTTGTGCGGTCTTAGGGATTCCTCGGGCCGTCTTGGGACTCATCGGGGCCATCTGATGCCATCTTGGCAGCGTCTGAGCTACTCCAGAGCCCGTTCTAGATCCAAGGAAGTAAAGTCCGAGATGCCAAAAGCAGCTGCTACACAAAAGCACCCAGTACTTCTGCATGCTTGGCATCTCCGAGACCTGCTGGAGAACACTTTGGGGGCCTTCTTGGCACTTCTTCGAGCCTCTGCGGGGACATCTTGAGATCCCGCGGGGCGTCGTAGGCCCGTCTCGTCCTGGCCTCGGGGCGTCGTGGGGCGGCCACCGGCCCCACGTGGGGCCGAGAGGAGCGCCAGCGAGGCAAAGGCGGCCACCGCGGGGCGAGCTCCGACAGTGCGGTGCCGCAGCGGGGTGACCGCGGGGCCGCCCCCGGAAGAGTCACAGAGGCCCGGGCCGGGCAGCAGGCCTTCTCCTCCTCATGTTCCTCCTCCTCGTCCTCCTCCTCCTCCTCCTCCTCCTCCTCCTCCTCCTCCTCCTCCTCCTCCTCCTCCTCCTCCTCCTCCTCCTCCTCCTCCTCCCCAGGGGCGGCCACCCCTGCCACGCCCCGACGTGCGAGGGCGCGGCAGCGGATCCTCGGACGGCTTGTCCATTCGGCTGGTCGAGGGCGCGGCGACGGGCGTCCGCGGGCTGGCTTTTGGCGACGGGCGGCTGCCCTCCGTGGGCGGGCGGGCCTACTTCGAGGTCTGCTTGACAGAGCTCCTGGCAGGCCACGGCGACAGCCTGGTGATCGGGGTCACGGAGAGCGCTGACTTCGAGGGGCTGGCGAGGTTGCCAGAGCGAGCCCAGGAGGTCCCGCACTCCTGGGGCTTGGGCTACGACGCGGGGTCGCGGAACTGGAAGTGCTGGAGTACAGGCGGCGGTTTTTCTACCATCGAGATGGGGGATTGTTTAGTGCCGATCGATTGGGAGCCGCATGACTTGCACGTAGGTGACAAGGTTGGGTTGCTGGTCAGTCAGAGCGGGGAAATCTCCGTGCTCCTGAACAAGCGCACGCACGCGACAGGGCTAGACCGGGTCCCTCGCAGGCGGCCACTGTACCCGCTGGTCGAGTTGCGTGGTGGAGCGCGCGCAGCGTCGCTGCAGACAGGCGCGGAGCCTCCGTTGGGTGCGTTCGCCGACAAGCCGCTGAGCCCCCTCGTGAAGTTGACCGAAGGTGGACTTGTGGCAACCCACACGGACAACGAGAAGATGCACGGTGTTGTGATGGGCGATTGCCCCATACCTCGCTTCGACGCAGGTGCCTACTTCGAGGTCCGCGTGGAGGATGTCTTGACCGGCAACGACGACGGGCTCACCATTGGCGTCACCACCGTGGCCCCGGGAGCGCTGCTCGGGCAGGTGTTCGAGAACGCCGACGCGGTGCCAGAGTCCTGGGCCATGGGGTTCGACGGGCAGGCCTGCGTGTCTGGAGAGGGCGTCGACGAGGACGAGGACATTGTGGTGTGGCTTCGGGCTGCGCGCAGACGGCCCCCTCAGGTGGTCCCAGCTGGCCTCAACAGGTGCAGTCCAGGGCGGTCTCAACACCCCAGCCCTGTGGCGCCAGGGTGCTGAGACCGGCCGAGACTACCTGGACTGCGGTACAGCACTCGGGGGGCCTGTTGAGGCCAGCCGGGACCACTTGCGGGGGCCGTCTTTGCGCAACCCGAAGCCTCACCGAGGACATGTTCGACATACCGTGGAACCCGAAGGACCTGGCGGTGGGCGACCGCGTGGGTCTCTTGGTCACCGACTCCGGGGAGGCGCACCTCCACGTCAACGGCGAGGTGAAGGCCACCATCGACGGCCTGCCGCCGGGCCAGCGCCCGGTCTACGCGCTGGTGGACCTCCTGGGCAACTGCACGTCGGCCTCCCTCGTGGTGGGCGCGGCGCCGCCCGCCGGCGTCGCCGAGGCCGCGGCCGTCGCCGCCCTCGTGGGCGGCCAGGCGGGCCCTCCGGCGGCGCTGTCCGGCTTCGCGCGGAGCCCGCTGTCCTCGAGGGTGCGGCTGTCCCCAGACAGGCTGCTGGCCCAGTACCTGGGGGACGCGAAGGCGATCGTTTCCTTATTCGTTGTTCTGCCGAGCGGCGCTGGCCCTCGCACCCCCCTCTCCCCCCCCCTCCTGGAGTAGCTCTTGGCTGCTCTGGGCGCCTGCCTCAAGCAGGTGGAGCCTCCCCCACAGGACGCACCGCTGCAAACAGTCGCACGCAGCAGAGGTCCGGAGCCAGTTTTCCCCCCCCCCCTTCCCCCCTTCCCCTCCCGCCCAACGTCCCCAGGCATGCGACGTCCTGATCTTCTCAGTACGGCATATCCCGGAAGTCCAGACCCTCTCTGGGGCCGGGTCTTCACCCTGAGCCGTTTCTTGACCGTCCCGGGGCCCGGCGAGGGCCCCCAGGGGCCGAAAATAACGACGAACTGACGAACTTGCCATCGTGAGTTTTTGCGGCGAGGGCCCCCAGGGGCCGAAAATAACGACAAACTGACGAACTTGCCATCCTGAGTTTTTGACGACGCGATCGTGTCTGGGTCGAAACGCCCCCAGGGGCCGAAAATAATGACAAACTTGCCGTCCTGTGTTTTTGACGACGCGATCGTGTCTGGGTCGAAGCGCCGAGCGAGCGACAACGATCACCGAGGCGGACTTCGAGGGCGTGGTCCTCGGGGATGGGCCCGTGCCGCGGGTCACGGCGGGCCTCTACTTCGAGGTGCGCCTGGAGCAGGCGCTGTGCTCCTTCGGCGACGGCCTGGTCATCGGCGTCACGCTCGCGCCGCCGGCGGAGGTTCGAAGAAGAGAAAACGCCACGAGCATGAACTTTTGGCGCTCCGCGCTGGACTTCTTGGATCCGCGCTGGGCCCCCCCAGGGACGCCTCTGGCGCCGCCCCAGGCGCGCTCCGCGCGCCAGGGAGGGGGGTCCAGCGCAGATCCAAGAAATCTGCGCGGAGCGCCAAAGGTTTATGTTTATGGCGGTTTGTCTTTTTCTAGAGGTGGAGGCCCGCGGGGTGAGGCTGGAAACGGCGGACGCGGTGCCCGACTCTTGGAGCATGGGGTTCGACGGCATGAAGCACATCTCCGGGGAGGGCATATCTGAGGACGACGACATGTTCCCGATTGACTGGAATCCGAAGGATCTTCGCGCCGGGGACCACGTCGGCCTCCTGATCACGGACGGCGGCGAGGCGCGGGTGTACGTGAACGGCGAGAAGAAGGCCGCATTGGAGGGCGTGCCGGCAGACCGGCCGCTGTACCCGGTCATCGACCTCCTGGGCAATGCGCACGCAGTATCCCTCCTGCTCGGCGCGTCCCCACCAGCCACGGCTGCCATAGCGTTCGCTGCGAAGCCCGCCAGTCAGTGGATCGCCCTCTCCAGGGACAGGACTCGCGCCGAGAACACCAACGGCGACACACCAGATGACATCGACGCCGCGGTCTTCCAGGGAGTTGTGATTGGGGATGCGCCAATACCTCGTGGTCCTCATGGCGCGTACTTCGAGCTGGTCGTGGAGAAGACGCGGCCCGAATGGAGCGAGGGGCTCGTCATCGGAGTCACCGCCCGAGCGCCCAGTTCCCTCGTCGGTCACGCTTTCAACACCGCCGATGACGTGCCAGAGTCTTGGAGCTTCGGCTACGACGGCCAAGCGCACTTGTCTGGCGAGCACATACCAGAGGACGAAGACATGTTCGAGATAGATTGGAACCCGCAGGAGCTGCAGGTCGGGGACCGCGTGGGCTTGCTGGTGACCAACGAAGGGGAGGCCCGCGTCTGCGTCAACGGCTCGCTGGTCGCCTCGCAAGAAGACCTGCCAGTGAAGAGCCCGGTGCCCATGGACCGGGACCTGTACGCCGTCGTGGATTTGCTCGGCAGTGCCGCCGCTGTGACACTGACGCGCGACGCTGTGCCGCCGACTGGGGTGCTCGAATCTCTTGCACCTACGCCGCTGCGAGGGTTGCCGACGCCCACCCTGGCGGGGTCGCTTGCAGCGGGCTCCGCGCGCCCCCAGGCAGACCTGCCCGCGCCAAAGGCCCCAGCGGCAGCGGCGCCCGCACCCACGCCGGCGCCTGTGGCGCTACCCGCAGCGGCGCCCCAGCGGCTTGCGGCCACAACGGCGCCGCCTCCAGCAGGCCCCCGGCCTGCGACTGCGCCGACGCCCGCTGGCAGCCTGGCGCCAGCTGCAAAGGCGCCCGCGGGGGGACTTCCACTGAGGCCCACGCCCTTGCCCGCAGTGGGGCCTCCGCTGGCGCCCGTGCCTTCCGCGCAGACGCCTGCCGCGCGCCCCACGCCGGCGCCTGCGCCCGTGCGTCCTGCGCCCGCGCCTGCGCCCGTCCGCCCTGCGTCGGTGCCAGCGCCCACCGCTGGGCTCCCGCCAGCATCTGCAGCAAATGCGGCCGCCGCAAGCCCCTCGCCGCCGCCCGCGGCAAAGGCGCCCGCCGCGGGCTCTGCGCCAGCGCCTGCGCCCGTGCGCCCTGCTCCAGTGCCGGCGCCCACAGCCGGCCCAGCGTCAGCACTTCCAGCGAAGGCGCCCGCCGCAGGCCCTCGGCCTGCAGCGCCCACCGCAAGCCCCAGGCCCAGGCCCCCCGCTGCAGCAACGGCGCCACCCGCGGGCCCGGCGCTGTCGTTCCACGCGGGCTCCTTGAGTGAGCACGTGCGCATATCTGATGACGGCACCAGCGTCTGGCATCTGGACGACCGCACGGAGCACGACCTCTTCGGGGTGGCAGTGGGCACCCAGGCACTGCGGCCGTTGCCCGACGGCTGCCGCTACTTTGAAGTGCGGGTGGACCGCGTGCGCCGGCACCACGACGGCCTCGGCATCGGCTTCACGACGCTGACCCCCGCGGAGCTGGCGACCAGAGGGCCGCCAGAGGTGGCGGAGCCCGACTCCCTGCCGGTCTGGGTCGCGGGGTATGACGGCATCTTCTGGGGCAGCAATGCGGATGAGCAGCCCGAGCAGTTCGTGTGGAAGCCCGGGCGCCTCGAGAGGGGGGACCGCGTGGGCTTCCTGATCGGCGGCGCCATGGTGCAGGTGTTCCAGAACGGCGCCCTGGTCCTCGAGGCCCCCGACGACGGCCTGCCCGGCGACGGCACGCCCGCGTACCCCCTGGTCGACCTGATCGGGAAGGTGCAGGGCGTCTCCTTCCTGCCAGGCGCCTCCCCGCCGGCCAGCAGGCTGGATCCCGCGCGTGCGGCGCCGGGGCCGCTGACAGGCTGGGACCCGGAGTTCCTGAGCTCGCAGGTGGCCCTGCGGCCGGGCGAGAAGGGCCCTCGCGCGGGCCTCAGGCACAAGGACCCGTCGGGCGAGGCCATGTTCGGCGTCGCCTTCACCGACGCGCCCCTGCCGATCTTTGCCGACGGCGCGGCTTATTTCGAGGTGGAGGTCTTGGAAGTGCGGAGGGGCCACCGCGACGGCCTCACCATTGGGGTCACTGCCACGCGGCCGCGAACTGTGAGACCGTTGCCAATGACAGCCGACACGGTAGAGCACTCCTGGAGCCTCGGCTTCGATGGCAGCGCCAAGGTGCCAGAGCAGCCGGATTTCGTGCAGTTGAGTTGGAACCCGTCCGAGCTACAGCAGGAGGATTCCGTCGGCCTCCTCGTGACCCCCGACGGCAAAATCTTCGTCACGGTCGACGGACAGATCAAGGCCCAGTCGCCATCTCAGACGAGAGCTCACACGGACGCGCCTCTGTACGGTTTTGTGGATCTCTTGGGCAACACCGTGGCGGTCGAACTGGTGGACCCGCCCCCGGGCGCGGTGGAGGACCTCCTCGACGAGGCAAGCGTGTGGCGCCCTCCAGGAGGCCTGCTGCAGGCTCTGAACGTCTTCGACGCCTGGTGAGCCAGGCCTCGCCGCGGCTGGCGCCGCCACGGCGGCCCGCCACGGGCTGCTCCTCGGCCGCCGCCGAGCGCGCGTCGCGGCCGCCGCTGGCCGCGCCGGCCGCCCCCGCGCAGCGCCGCCCGCGGCGGCCGCGTGCCCCACCGCGAGGCCGTCGCGGCCGCGGCCGCGGCGCCCCATCGTCGGGCCACGGCATCTAGACGTGTACACTGGCCCCGGCCAGGCCCCTGGGCCCAGGGTCCGTGCGTGGCGCCGTCCTGGCTGGAACTTGGCCAGGGAGGCGCACAACGCCGATGCCTGGGCCCAGGAGGGGCCTGGCCAGGGGCGGCGCACGTGCACGGACCCCGCCGCCCTCCATCGGGGGCCTCCCGGGCACGGCGGCCGCGGCGGCCTGGGCCGCGGCGGCCTGGGCCGCGGCGGCCTGGGCCGCGGCGGCCGCCAGGGCCGCGGCGGCCTGCCCGGGCAGCCCCCGGCAGCGAGCGCTCCCGCCGCGAGGCGCCGCGAGGCTCTGCGGGGAGCCTCGCGTCGGGCGCGCGCGTCTCCCGGGGGCGGCGGCGCGGAGGCCAAGAGGGCACCAGGGGCCGCACTGCGGCGCGGAGTCCCTGCTGCTCCGCCTGCCAGACCTGCTCGCGTCCCCCCCCCCCAAAAAAGTAAAACACGACGGGAGGTTTTTGTTGGCCGTTCTCTCGGCCTCCGGAGACCCTCGCCAGGCCCCGGGGCCGCCCAGAACGGCTCGCGATGCAAGAACGGCAAAGGCTCTGGATGTCCGGGGGCCCCAATTTGAAAAAGGGAAGGCATCACAAGTTTGGGTCTGTTGGGGCGTCAGCGACGCAGCACTCATCGCCAGGCGCGCAGTCTTGCCGTCGTGGGGCGGCGTCAGGCGTCAGGCTGCGGGGAGGTGTGGATACCAGACAGACTCGGCAGCGCCCCATTTCTGGGTCTGGACTGCGAGCAGAGGAATGCTAAGTCTCGGGATCCTGTGGTAAGCTTGCTGAACCAAACCCTGATCAGGGAATTAAATGGCCCACTAGTCTGCTATGTGATCGTGTCAGGATCGAGCACCTAATCGAGAGACAGTGTCCAGACACTGGTGTGCGAGTATAGGGCAAATGTTTGGTGCGTCATTGATCTCCACGAGCTCATCCAGAAACGATCACCTGGCAAGTTGCCCTGATCAGGGAAGTGGAGGAACATGGAGTAGAACAAAGACGCTAAGCCGAAGCTTGGGATCTGCATGAGTATATCCAGGAGTGGAGCTGTTGAGCCGTCCGTCGCATGAGGAGGAGGCGGGGGATTCAATGGAGAACGAGGAGGTGGAGGAGGGAGGAGGAGCACGAGAAGGGTCAAGTTAGCCAGGTCAAGCAAGTCAGAGGGCCCCGCGTTACTTCCACCCTCCCTCCAACAAAACAGCATCGGGATCAAGTGCGGCACAACTTGATACGTATTGGGATTTGGAACGCGTTCCCACCTCGCAAACGAAAGGAGCTCGCGCGTGGCCCTGCCTCCGACGACTCGGGGGCGGGAGCGGCAAAATTTCCGATGGGCGCGGCGAAGACGAAGCATGCGCCGCTCTGACACAGCACTGTCGCTTCAACTCACAAAGTGCGCGGCGTTTTGGCGAGGTCGGCATCTCGCCCGCTCTCGCGCGGCCCCGTTGTCACTCTCGCCTTCGCGCGCCTGGGCGAGCGAACCATGAGCCGCGCCAGCGTTGGAACGCCGCTTCAGAGCCGAATGCGCACGGAACTTGGGCGAGGACAAGTCGCCCACTCGCGTGGGCCCCCCCAAAAAAAACTGGGCGAGCAATAAAAAGGCGACGCGTCGGTGCGGGAACGCCACTTTGAGGCGAAAGCTGCGCGGCGCCGAGGCGAGAGCGTGATTGTCGTCCGCTCGCGCGTCGACGAGATGGCGTGCGGTGCGACTGCGCCGCGCCCAGGCGGGATCTCAAGTCTCTTGAAACATGAGCGCGGCGCCGCGGCGAGAACGACTGTTCGGCCTTTCGCGCGGGATGCGCGCCCCGTCCCATTCCTTCCACGCATCTTGCAGCATGGACGACGGAAGGTCCATGCTGAGACGAGTGACGTCGAATCGGTATTGCTCCTCCGTTGTAAACAGATAGGATGGACGGGCCCCGATCGGGTCGCTAACTCCCAGCTAGATGGCGGCGTGGGAATATGTGTCGCCGCGCCGTTCGTTCCGACGCGCAGCCTCACGTCTTGGGGATGGCGCGGCGGCCGCCAGGGCAAACGCAGCCTCGGCCGCGGCGAGTTTGCCGTGGGTTTGCCGCTGTGGCGGAAGTCGCCTGCTCGAGGCGCGGGGCGCAAGGTTTGCCGGGCTTTGCCGTGGTGCCGGCGTCGTCCAGTTGGGCGCGTCGAGGACACGGCGCGGCGACATGTGTATATATATATATATACATATACATATATATATATATATATATATTCCCCAATCAGTGTTTGCACTGAAAGGGGTCCTAGCGGATATGGAAGGATTTGGCGACAGTTCCCGGCCGATTTCGGTGGGCGGCCAGGTTCCAGGGTTCCCGGTTCCGGTTCTGGGTCCTGGGCCAATTTCGGTGGGCGGCGGGGTTCCCAGGTTTCCGGGTTCCTGGTCGATCTTCTTATCGATCGGTCTCACCATCAATCTCATGACCAAACCTTTTTACCGATCTCACTGTCGATCTCACTATCAATCTCATTGAATCGATTTCACTATCGGTCTCACGATCGACCTTACAATCATCCTCACTGTCGATTCCACTGTCGATCTCACAATCGATCTCAATATCCACATCACTAATTTAAACTACCATCCGCTGATTGGGTTTTTCTCTGGGGTAGTTGATAAGGAGAGGGACAATGAGAATGTGGGAAGAAAGGGTCGACGCCGACGACGGCGACGGTGCCAAAGGCTTGTTGAGGTAACCTCAAGAAGATCCTCGGCGCTCGCGAATAATACAAGAGCCTCTGCACATGATGCGGAGGCCTCTGCGCAGAATGTCCTCTTGGGACCTTTTTATGCACTCTCTGAGCCATCTTAAAGGACCGATCAAAAAGGGAACGGCATCTGTGACCGCTGCCCTTCCGCGGCACGAAGACTTGGCTCTTGGAGCGCTCTTTCGGCGCTCTTGAAGCCGTCTTGGACCTCCCCTGGGCCCTTCTTAGGGCTCTTGTGGGCTACATTGGGAAAACATTTTGAGGCCTCAGAGCCCCATCGGAAGCGAGAAGACGAGATGGCAAGAACACACTTGAAAGGAATTGCTTCTGAAGCCTGTCATCCCCCACATGTTCTCCTTGGGAGGCTGAGTAGCCACTTGGAGCCGCCTTGGAGCAGTCTTGGAGCTGCCTGGAGGTCTGCCGGAAGCCATTGTGAAGCCGTCTCGTGCCAAGAAAGGCCCTTTGACTCCTCGCAGGGGAGGAGGCGCGGCGGGGCGCCCAGGCCCAGGGGAGTGGGGTCGTCCCGCTCGTGCTCCTCCTCCTCCCCAACGAGGCCGATGGCATCTGTGGAGCCGATGGGCCCTATGAGCACCACGAGGCCCTCCAATCCTCGCGTCGGGGAAAAAGTGAAGCGGGAGTCGTCGGCCGTTCTCTCGGCTTCTGGGGTGCCCATGGACGACCTCTCGACGACGACGCCCTCGACGACGACGACGACGACGACGAACTGGTCGGCGGCGGCGGTCCGCCAGCTCGGACGTCGCGAACTGCAGCTAGCCGATCGCATGGTCTCCGTTGGCGCCTGGTGCCGCGAACGACGGAGCTCCGAGGGCCGACGACCAGCCACGACGAGAGACGAGCGACAAGCGACGACCGACGAACGGGGAGGAAGGGGGTTGAAAAAAAAATCCCAGTGCGACCCTACCTAGGAGTTGGAGCATTTAGGAAAGCAACATATACATCTACACCGACAGCTACATTTACATCTACACCTGCATCTACATCTACATCAGCATCAACAGCGAGACTCACAATTACAGCTACATCTACACCTACATATACACCGACATTTACATCTACATCTACATATACACCTACATCAACATTTACACCTACATCTACATCTACATATACATCTACCCTTCCGCATTGGTGTTGCTTTGTTATGTTAGGCTATGATATGATATGCTATGCTGCGCTATGTTATGATATGTTATGATATGATATGATATGTTATGATGCGCTATGATATGATGTGTTATGTTATGATATGATATGATGCGCTGTGTTATGATAAGCAATGCTATGCTATGCTATGCTATGATATGATATACTGCGCTATGATATGATATGATATGATATGCTGAGCTATGCTATACTATGATATGTTATGTTATGCTATGCTATGCTTGGTTATGCTATGATGTGCGAATGCTGTGCTAATGCTGCGCTGCGCTATGCTGCGCTAAGCTGAGGTAAGCTATGCTAAGCTAGGCTAGGCTAAGCTAAGCTAAGCCAAGCTAAGCCAAGCTAAGCTAAAGCTAAGCTAAGCTAAGATGAAATAAGCTAAGCTAAGCTCAGCTAAGCTAGGCTAGGCTAGACAAGGCTAAGCTAAGCTAAGATGAGATAAGCAAAGCAAAGCTAAGCTAAGCTTAGCTAAACTAAGCTGGGTGAACCCAGGGGGCGCAACTGGGGGAACCGCGGGGCGGATACTGGGGGAACCGCCCCGGACGCTTTCCAGTGCCCGGCCCCTTTAAGCCCAGAGAGTAAGAACCCTTCCAGGCAGAGCCTAGGTAGGGAAAAAAACACAACACACAGAGGAAACGCCGTACGCCACCTACGCCCAGAGGGCTGGTGAGATTTCTAGAGCCTGAGAGGGTGCAAGCAGGAGGATGACCTGCCTGCGTGGACAGCTGCCCGCAGCACTTGTTGCGGTAGTGTGTACACGTGCACGTGCGTTTGCGCACGTGCGCGCAGAACGCATTCCTGTTCGCGTGCACGGTTGCTTGCCTTTGCTCCTGAGCGCTGACCGAAATTTCAGTCCAGCATGGTCATCTTCGAGATGCTGGGTCGGCGTGTTGAGGGAACGCGCCAGGCTCGACCCCCCAGGGCGGGCCCGAAACCCGCGCGTTGCCCGCCCTAGCCTCCAGCACATCGCCGAAGTCGAACATCTCTTCCCGCGCGCATGTCTCTGCGGTGCGCGACTGACTAGCTGCACACCTTCCGGTACACCCGCTTTCCCCGTGTCTGCCGCCTGGGCACTCCCCGCGGTCAAGACCCTCAACGCCCGAGGCCTCCTCCCGCGTTCCTCCTCCGCGGCCGCCTCCCTCTTCCCCGGAGTCGCCCTGGTGTGCCCCTGGTTCCAGCGCGGCCCGCCGGCTGTCCGAGCGCGAGGCGCGACGGAGCTCGCTGCTGACAAAGCATGTGCTTGCGGCGTGCGCCACCGGGAAGCGCCTGCGGCGGCAAATCACGGGGGCCTGGTAAGCCTTCTCAATTCCGTCTCTAGCGTCGATTCGACTGGCGTCTGGGAGTCGATGAGACGTGCCGATTGAGCGTCGATCAGCGTCGGCTCAGCGCCGATTGAGCGTCGATTAGCGTCGACTAGCGTAGATTCGCGTCGGTTCGGAAGAGCCGACAAGATGGTATGGGAGGCTCTCACGAGCTGCCACAGAAAACGCCCCAGGAGAGGGAGACGCTCAAGCGCGATGTCGACGCGCTGCGGGCGGAGAACGACAGCCTGCGCGCCACCGAGAAGGCGCTGCAGGCGGCGACCCGGCCAGCCTGCGCCGACCGAAGCCGCCCCCCCGTGCGCGCGCAGAGGCTACCGTCCAACGATGTCAGCCAGGAGAGATCGCTTCTCGCACCGAGTCTGGCGATCGAGTGTTCCACGCCGCCGTGCTGGTCCGGCCGTGGTGAGGTCCAGTGGTCGCTCGCTCCTCCTCGCCTCTTCTGGACACGCGGGCGGTTTTTGATCTTGGCATCGCTCGGACGTGTGCATGTTTCCGTCGGCGAGGACCATCGAGGAGCATCCTGGATCATTTGGCGAAAAACCACGCGCGAAACCGGAAAAAGCACAGGGAATGGACGTCCGAGCGATGGCCAGTGATAGGTTTCGGGATTTGGGAGCCCTCGCTGGGCCCAGGGGACGTCAAGAAACGACTCGGGACAAGCAGCTGGTCCACGGGAACGGGCCGATGGCGTTCGGCACCCGACAGAACGATCGGCGGTGGTGCTCATGGCGACGAGCGCCCGAAGGTCGTTCAGGGCCCATTCCTCCCAGGGATCCGGCGCGTCTCCCCCGGAGCCCGCCGCGACTGTGCCCAGCTGAGCCTGGCTTCCCAGGGAGGCACCGCATGCCCACGCATGAGCCGATTCCCTCCGGCAGATGTCATGCTGGGGCTGCTGGTCTCGAGCGGCTGGACGGGTTGTGTTCTGCTTCGCTCGGCGTGGGCTTTCAAAGTTGTGCTGACCTGCAGGGACGTGGCTGATTCGGGGGACTGCTGACCCAGATCGTGGCCGCCGGTGTCGGATGAAAGAGTCGGCTCGTTTCTCGGGGGGAGGGGGTCGTAGAGGGAGGGTTATCCCGGGGCTGGGGAACGGGCACAGCCGGATGCTCCCGTTTAACGCGTTTCCTTCTTCCAGGGGTCGTCCGGAGCGATTTTCCTTACAATAGGGGCCAGCAGCTTGACGTCGGCGTCACCCCAACATACTAATACTATGTGTGCGTCGCCACCCCCCAGGGGCGACACTCGCTCCGAGAAGTCTTACGGTATATGCGTCATGGCGAGCGCTTTCTGGCCACACCGCTCGGGAAACGTATACGACAAGATGGGCATACCATATGTTCGGGTCGGACGCGCGCCTCCAAGGAGGACATAGTACTAGTATGTCTCTGTGCGTCCCATGACGGCAGGCAGACTGCCCTGGCTAAGGCGGCGCGCCTGAAGCTTCGCTACCGTCGTCGAGCAGCTCGGCGCGAGTTACGGCGAGAGCAGGGCTGGGGCAAGTCTTCTGAACTTAAGGGGACGCAGCTGCAGGGCATCGTGTGCTGCCAAGCTCTCGCGCTCCTCCTCCTCCTCCTCCTCCTCCTCCTCCTCCTCCTCCTCCTCCTCCTCCTCCTCCTCCTCCTCCTCCTCCTCCTCCTCCTCCTCCTCCTCCTCCTCCATCCCCTCCTCCTCCTCCTCCCAGACATCATCGAAGAAGAAGACGAAGAAGATGGAGAAGACGAAGAAGAAAGGGCGGCAGAAGCAGAAGCCCTCGGAGCTCTGCACGGACTTCCTGGATCGGCGCTGGGCCAAGACAGGACATCCACGCGGAGCTCCGAAAGTTTATGTCTGTGCCCTTTCTTGCTCATCTGGTGCGGCAGGGCGCCTCCAGAGCGGGCCTCGCCCTCGAGGGATCGAGGCGCTGACCTGTCTCCCCGGGCCGAGGCCAGCGCAGGCAAGGCGGGGGCGGGCCTTCCCGCAGAAGGTCGGCGGAAGCCGGCCCCCGTCGTCGTCAGGGATCGGGGCTCAAGAGACGGGGGTCAATGCAAACAGGGGTCAGTCAGCGCGCCGGATCTAGCAGGAGCCTGCAGCGCGAGGATTGCATTGACCCGGGTCTGGGTGCAGGATCCTGCAGGATTCTGCAGGATCTCGCAGGATCTTGCAAGGCCTGACTGACCCAGGTTTGGATTGACCCGGGTCAGAAGATCCCCGAAGGGAGCTTGGCGCTGCCCGACAAGTGATGACCTCCGCCCCCAGAAACCCAACATCATGATACGGTGGGGGCGTTGGTTAAGGAGTGTGCGCAGGAGGCTTCGGACCTTGAAGGATCCCTCATCTGATGAGGGCGGCGGTGATGTCCATGGCCGATCCACGATTGGAGTTTTGCTGGCTTCCAGACCCTGGATTCCTTACACGCCATTCGTTGAAAGTAGGTATTTCTGGGCTCCCAGATCCCAATCTACTTCAAGCGCCTTCCTATTTCAAGGCTCGATATGTTTTTGCTGTGCTTTGTTATTCTCTGGGAGGGCCTGAACCCAATCTACTTTATTCGGACGGGGCTAGGATGAGGATAAATCCGTTCCAGAGCGTTCCGGAACGCTCTGAGAAGGCCGCGGCGCCCGAGACATCTTCCAGAGCCGCCGGATGTCAGAGGTTCTCGATTTATCCACCCCCGAATTTATCCTCGTCCTGGTTTTGTCTTGTTTATCCGCCTTCCTACGTACCTCTTCCGACCGACGTGCACCCAATGATTCCTTATCCGATGCCCTCACCGCATGGTGGTCTTCAGAAAGGGCCTCGCCCCCGGCGGGAGGAGGAGGAGGAGGAGGAGGAGGAGGAGGTGAAGGAAGGGGGAGGAGGGGGGAGGAGGAGGAGGAGGAGGAGGAGGAGGAGGAGGAGGAGGAGGAGGAGGAGGAGGAGGAGGAGGAGGAGGAGGAGGAGTAGGAGGAGGGGCGGAGGAGGAGGAGGAGGAGGAGGAGGAGGGGCAGGAGGAGGAGGAGGAGGAGGGAGGGCGTCGAAGTTGTACCACCACGTTCCGATTTGGCTTGGCTAGAGGAGAGGCGCAGAAAGATGGGGTCGAGGGCTCCGGTCGTGGTTTCCCGCGATTTTGCATTTTGCCGCGGCGTCGGATCTCGGGGAGAACGGTGCGGGGGCAGGTCCGCTGGCGAAAAGTCAGGGCGAAGTTTTGAGGAAGGAAAAGATGCACCCAAGAGATGGCAACGTTTTCGGACTCAGGGCTGTCGGTCCAGGAAGACCGATACGTCCATGACATGGGCCCCAGACCTCTCGACCCCATCCCGGGGTCTAGCTCTCCATCCTGGGCCGGAGGTCCCTTGAAGTCTCTGGGGGCCTTCCAAGGCCCAAGCAGGGCCAACAACGCCCAAGAAGCTCGACCATCGACCCTCAGAAAGACAAGTATCGGGTTGGGAGGATGGGGTTGGGAGAAACATCGAGAATACCAGATCACCCATAGCCTCGCGCAGGTTGCGTGTGCTTCTTTTGCTGCACAGTCGTGCCCTGTACCTTCCGAGCCCCCAACACGAGGACTGCCTGTCTCAGACCCAGGAAATTTCGGACCTCGAGCTTTGAGGTCCGGGCTCTCGCGAGCGGCCTCGGCGAGAGGCCTCGGCAGGAGAGCAAAGAGCGGGGCCACCGCCGCAGGCCGAGGTCGAGCGCGCCATGGAGCAGCGGGCGCAGCTCGCGAGCCACAGCAACCACAGGCCGAAGAGCTCCTGCTTGGGGCGGGGGGGGGCAGGGACCCAGCCTCCTTCCCTCCTCCTCCTCCTCCTCCTCCTCCTCCTCCTCCTCCTCCTCCTCCTCCTCCTCCTCCTCCTCCTCCTCCTCCTCCTCCTCCTCCTCCTCTTCCGGTCCTTTTCCTTACAAGCAATTTCCCCCTGTCGCACCCCGAGGCCCGTTTTTGGGGCGGGCCAGGCGTTTCGCCTGAGACTTCCTCACCCCTTCTGATTCTGAAGTTCAGAAACTGGCAGCGGCTTCACAGATGGAGGGCGGGTGGTTTTCAAAATGTGGCTCTCGCCATTGCGCGGCGCACATTCGTTTTAGAAATTTGCACGAGTTTACAGATTGACGGCGGATGGTTTTCAAAATGTTATCCTCGCTTTGACGCGGCGCAGGTTCGTCTTGAAAATTTGCAAGAGCTTCACGGATTGAGGGCGGGTCGTTTTCATCATGTGGTTCTCGCTTGAGCGCGGCGCAAGCTCGTTGTACACATGTGCAAGAGCTTCACGGATTGAGGACGAGTCGTTTTCAAAAAGTGGCTCTCGTCTTAGCGCGGCGCACCTATCTTTTAAACATTTGCACAAGTTTCACGGATTCAGGGCGGGTCGTTTTCAAAATGCGGGTCTCGCCTGAGCGCGGCGCACATTCCTTTTTAAAAATCTACAAAAGTTTCACGGATTCCCATCATCCACGTACCAGACATGATTTGTTGGAAAGATTCAGGATTATGCGGGTGCAACAGTTCCATGGATTCTCTGTGTTGAAGTCCTTGGGATGGCGTTTTGGCACGGCTCAGGACCGCCAAAACGCAACAGTCCGGTTGATCCGCGGCGCTGGAATCCCGAGAATCATGTTTGGCATGTTTCAGGGTCTTCAAACGGTTGTCTTCCAACGAAGCAGTTTCAATGGAAATGAATCGTTGTAGGGGCTTGTGAAGAGGGAGTTTGGAGGGAGGGTGTATTCCAACATCGTTGATGACTCTTGGGTTTACACTGGTCCTCCTCCTCCTCCTCCTCCTCCTCCTCCTCCTCCTCCTCCTCCTCTTCGTCGGCGGCGCAAGCTTGCAATATTGAGGTCGTATATGGCGAAGAAGTATGTGATCATGGTGCAGGAGACGCATGGTGCGGCGGTCATTTTGGAGTCGTTCGTGCGCTCGCAGCCCTTCCCCTACAAGGTCCACTTCTCTGCTCTTCGTGATGGGCGTGGCGGCGGTGTGGCGACGCTGATCCCGAATGCCGAGCAGCACGAGTGGGAGGAGATGCATCCGTCGTGGCACCCAGTCTCGACGGCTACGGAGCTGGTTCCTGGGCGGGTGCTGATGGTGAAGATCAGCGTGATGGCGCGAAGGCCCGACTCGGCGACGCACCTGCCCGCCGAGGCCGACGAGTGCTGCGTCGGAGTCACCCTCATCAACGTGCACAACCACGAGCTCAGCGCGGAGGACAAGAAGAGGGTGGCGACAGCCTGGCGTGGGGCAATGAGGGAGGCGCGCAGGTGCCCGATGCAGGAGCTCTGCGTTGCTGCTGGCGACTTCAACCTTCCAGTGGGCGATCGGCGCTACTATCGCATGCCGACGCCGACGGCGATGAGGTCCCCCGTGCGCGACCACCAGGCCAGGTCCTTCTGGCGGGACCTCTTCGACGAGTGCGTGGAGATCAATGGCAAGGATGCCACGCACTACGACAGGCATTCGGACTCCGCCTCTACGCTGGATCGCTTCTTCATCAGCCTGCCGAGGGACGCGTACCCCTGCCTCCGTGCCACCCGCACGGTCGACGCGGACCCCGCGACGCTGTCGCTGCGCAGGTTGAGTGATCATGGCGTGGTGGGGCTCGTGCTGGGGCTCCGCAAGGAGAGGCCGATGGCGGAGAGGAAGATCCCTGCCTTCGTCTTCAAGTCGCAACAGTATCCAAAGTACTTCAAGGATCTTCATGCTGCTGAACAGGATCTGCTTCGTAGTCGTGGAGCTGACGGAGACGCTCAAGAGGAGTGGGTTGCCGCCAAGCGGGCCATGGTCTCGGCGGCGAAGGCCACGAGGAACCACATGATTGCGCTCGCCGATCTGCAGAACGTGTCGCAGGGCGCGGAGCTCAACGCCTTGGTGATGCGATCGGCGGCCAGGACGGTCTGGACGAACGACGGCACCACGGCGCGCATGCTGATCCAGTCCTCCCCCTTGGCTCGGAGGCACCTGCGCATCCAAGATGGCAAGGTGCTGGCGAATGACACCCTGGTCTTTGGGGAGGCCGCGCGCACCACCACGGAGCGCATGTTGGATGAGCGGCGGCAAGACGCTGCGAGACGTGCGCGTCGCGCCTTTGCGACGGCGCAGGCACAGGAGGGCGAGCACTGGAAGCGGAAGCAGGGCAGCATAGTGAAGAAGGCCCAGCTGTGGCTCCGCAAGCTGCCCGTTTGGCAGCTGAGCGGCGTCAAGGCGTGTGCGACGGAAGAGCTCTCTGCCCCGCCAGCGCCGGAGAGCGCACCCGTGCGGCCGTCCGACGCCACGGTGAAGAACGCCGACGCCATGCTGGCCGCGGTGCGCGAGTACTGGGGCCCCATATTCAGGGAGAAGGGCATCGACGAGGAGGCGGCGAGGGAGTACATCGAGCGGTGGTTCGCTCCTGCCAACGCGCGCGAGGACTTCGCCTTCAGCGAGGAGGATCTATTACGTGCAGCTCGGGGGGGACGCGACGCGGCCCCTGGGCCTGACAGGCTGCCCTACGTCGCCTGGGCGCGGTCTCCTGCAGCGGTTGCCTGGCTGTACCGGCTCTGCCAGGAGGCGCTCGCTGGGTTGGGCTTCCCTGGCGGCTTCAACCACGGGCTGCTGGTGCTGATTCCGAAGAGCGGGGAGGCGTGCAGCGCGTCGGAGGTGGTGCGACGGCCTGGAACGCTAAGGCCGCTCATGCTGCTCAACACGGACAGGAAGCTGATCGCGACCGCGGTCAACCACGAACTCGCCGTGGTGGCGAGGAAGGAGGCCTCGGCGGTCCAGCATGGGTTCGTACGCGGCAGGACGTTCATCCCGAACATCATCAAGCTGGACCCGACGGCGCGCACCTTCAGCGCGCTCAGTGAGACGAAGGGCGGGCATCCCGCGCTGATCACGTTC